AAACACCCGGTAACGGGTGTTTGCATTGGTCGGGTCTTTTCTGCCCGTGCGCGCCCGCGAGCAGAAAAAAAATGCCGTCTGGAGACGGCAACACGCCAATGCTGCAGTGCCGTCCGTCCGTTTTTTTACAACGGGTGGACGGCAACTGGTTAAAGGCTCTTCACAAATGACGGAAACATTTTGTATGCTAACAGTAAAATATAAATCAAATCTTTTTAGACAAATTTATCACACAGTTTGATAGTTTGCTACCACTAGAACAAATCTTTTAAACACTTAAAGCCAATTACTAAATGCAGTGCCCTATCATTTTTTACAAAGAATATTATTGTCCAAATCCTGTCTTTTTTAATAATGGGATTAATATGACCAGTATACTGTATATGTAGTAGTAATACAGCCACATGCCCCTTTTATAATGTGCTACGTTCCTGTGCACACGGTGTCTAAAAAAAAAAAAAAAAGTTCTAATTTTGTCTAGACACACTCAGAAGATAGCTAATGAGGTCAAATCTTCACAAGACCAAGCCACCCTACCTTGAGGGGAACTTCAGCCAAGTTCCTTATGTGTCCCCTTTTTCCTGACAGATTGCCCTTTCTACAGTCGAATACTCTGCAAAGATTGTTGAATACGTTTTCCTAGAAGGGAAGGTGGTAAATGCAACATACATATCCAAGGTGTATCCCACAGTAGTGGTGTTTTGCTTCAGTATCCCTTCAAGGAGACAAAAAAAGTTACTGCTAAAATTGTAAATCAATGTATAACATTATAAACTCTCACATGCAATGTATTGATTTGTCATTTCTCCGCATATATTCATGTACATAAGGACGTGTGCTGGTGTAACTTTTGTTTTGCAACTATACATGCTTTTAGCTAGACTGAGCATATCTGTGCACCTCTCTCAATGACAAGATATTTCCCACAAGTTCACCCACTGAGCACAAAAAACCTGGAGCAGTTGCCAATGGCAACCTATCAGATTTCTTCAGGTAAGATTTGAAAATGACAGAGGAAAGCTGGTTGCCCTGTGTATCTGCTCCTGTTTTGATAAATTCCCCTCCCATGTCTTTTCAGATAGAGCTAACTTGGTAAAGAAGTCTACAGTCTGAACTTTTAAAAAATTAATCCACAGCGGAAACCTTACATTCATGTGAAATTAGTTTGGGATAAAGTGTTATGTCTGAATGACTGCAAATTGAAAGCCCAACTGATTAATCCAATCTCTCATTATCGACCTCTATTCTCCACACACGAAGAGGGGGACACCTAAGGAACAATGGGGGGAATCTATCAAAACTGGAGCAGTGGCCCATGGCAAACTATCAGCTTCTCTCTTCAGTTTGTTCAGTTAATATTTGAAAATGAAAGGTAGAAGCTGATTGGTTGCCATGCACAGCTGCTCCAGATTTTATCCTCTGCAGGTTTGATAAATTCCCGTCAATATCGTTTGGCTACAATTTCCCCCAAAGTTCCTTTTTAAGATAGGGGTGGCCTGCTCAAGTGAAGATTTGAACTCAAAAGCTCTCTTCTGAGTGTGCCTATGCAACAATTACTCCAGCAACAATGTCCTTATGTATATGTTCAGGAATATATGCTGAGAGATGCCAAATCAATACATTGCATGTGGGGTTTTCTAATACGGTGCACTGATTTACAATCTAGCGGTCATTTTTTTGTTTCTTTTGAAGGCTGTCAGCAGCAAACACCTATTTCTACTGTGTGATACACCTTTGATATGTATGTTGCATTTGCTACCTTCCTTTTTGGAAGCATAAATTCACAATGTTTGCAGAGCAATCTGCTTGTTTGAAGCACCTGCAGAAAGAAATCTGTCACTATATAGACCCGTGCTCCTCACCCACAGGGAGCAATATATTTGGCTGAAATTTTAAAGCTTCTGAGTGTGCCTATACAAATAATAACTTTCTTGAGATATATAATGCACGTGTAGAAATAATGATTTTTTTTAATAAATGGGGCTTTTGGACTCCTTTTTTGTTTGTTTATATGCATATAAGAACTTACATATTTTTAAGTAAAATATGTAATTTAACTTATTTAGTGCTTATAAACATTCCATTTTGCTTTTAAAATGTGGATGTTCTTCCATTATCTCTTAATATGTATAACTGGGTAACTTTGCCTGCTGGAATTATACATCCTCTAAAGCAGTGGTTCTCAACCTTTCTAGGGCTGGGACCCCTTGGTAACATTTGCCAAGTTGTGGTGACCCCCATCGGAGCGCTGGACTCCGGAATTAGTAAGGCGCTGGACTCCGGAATTAATAAGGAGCTGGACTAAAAATAGAAGCACACTCACAAGAATACAAGCCCTACCCTGCTGCCTGCTTTGTCTCCATGCAGCCTTCTCAGCCCTAGCACTGTTTAGACGCCCGCCTCCTGCAGAGCTCACATTGTATGGGAGGCAGGAAGACGGCAGCGCCTATGAATAGAAAAGCCCTTTAAGATATGTCCTGCCCAGGTCTGTTTGGCGTACATTCCATTGCACTGCTATAAGAAGACCTTAGCATATTAATCAAATGGCCACAGTTGGTCCAGGGGGAATTTTGGTTTGCGGTTGCAGAAGTAGGAGTTTACGTTTAGTTATTTGGGCCTCTGGTCACATTTGGGAGCATTTACTGTCCAAAAATAGCTTTCATAAAACCGTTGTTACAAATTGCCTAAATGAAAAGCGACTTTCCACTTTTAAATGACCTAGCTTTTTGTTGTTTTTTTAGCTGCAGTAAATCTCCAGTTCCAGCAACAATTGTTATGTATTAATGAAAGATTTACAGTCCTTCATCCTATTTTGTCTCCAGTGGTTGTATGCATCATAAAGCTAATGCTGTGTATAAGGTCTGAGGCTGTTTTCTCGCACCTTATTTTATGACAGTAGGAAGGCTGAATGTTCATGTATCCTGTCAGATGGGAGGGGTAGCACACAGGCTATACTCCTTTGCCTCAGCTAGTTCATCCTATTAATTTCCTGGAAGGCACAGCAGTATTCAAACCGTATGTCTTTTCTATGCTTGTGTTGATGGAGTTTGACTGGTGAATGCTTTTAGATTGTGAATGGCTTGTGTTTTAGATACTGCCATTAAAGAAAACTTGTACAAAAAGTGTGTTGTTAAAATGTTAATATTTAGCAGAGATTAGCTATATGTCAAAATGAGCAGTAGATGCAAATAAAGGTAGCTAAATTCATATTTTTCTTCTCTTTATAGAAGTCAAATTTTGCCTGCCCATTTATGTATCTGTTGGCCAGTGGTTGCTGCCATCGATACCAAACAGGAATGCTTGTAAGCAGGATAGGGAAGGAGCAAAGCTCTACTTTTACAGGAAAAGGCAAGGTTTGCATATGGCTTTAGCTGCTGTATCTCTTAATATACCGAATGTTTTGACAGGTCGTTTTTAGTGAACATAATCTCTGCTTATTCATTTTGTTCTTTATATGTCAAGTTTAAATTGCCTAGGTTTATGAAAGGGTAACAATGTCACTTTCAATAAAGCTGTATGTTTTGCCATCCATTTCATTTTCTTCTGTATTTAATATGCCTTTTTTTTGTTTTGTTGGTTACACAAGGATTTGTTTAATTGCTGCTGTTATTTTCTTGCACGACCATTCAGTTTTTAGCTCTTAATGCAGTGCGCACCATCTCTAAATCTAGAATATTAGCTGTTGCTTCTGCCAGTGCTGTTTACAGTCTTGGGTCATTTAGGACTTCTTAGGCCCGAAAGACTTTCCCTTTTGCAACTGCTTTTCGAACTATTCCTCTATGGAGATTGAAAGCATCCTAAAAAGATGTTTGCTTTCCATAAGTGCTTATTAGCCTTGCGTCTAATTGGTGAGGATTTTGTTCAGAAGTGGTCTATTCCCACTGTGGATCCAGCAGTGTTCCGCCTAAGGCACTTATTCTGTTAAAGAAAATGCCTTTTCTTTAAGGACCCAACCATTATGCTTTTAAAAGCTCCTTCTAGAGTTCTGTCTGTGACCTTACTTTGATAAACCAAGTGGGCTGGTCTTTATAAGAGATCCAACAGCCGGTGCAGTTGATTCCTCACTTCATAGAAAGCAAAGCTGTAGTGTTAAATTGCATTTGTGGAGGTTTGCTGGAAGCCTCTAATTTCTGCTCCCTCCTTGGTTTCTCACCTCAAACATTTCTGTGTTGTTGCACTGATCAGCAGAACTCCATGGAGCCCACTAAGGTCTTCTGGTTCAAGGTGTCCTTTTCCTAATTCCTATTACAGAACGGTTCCAAGGATTTTACCTGCTCCCTGCTCAAGGGAATCATCCATTCCTGGATCTCAAAAATCTGAATGTATTCATAAATCTAAAAATTCCACCTGGAATCTACAAAATCTAGCATCGCCTCTCTTCAGCAGAGAGAATTTGTTGCCTTCTGTGGACATGAGATGCTCACCTACCGGCCCCATCTTTTCAGCCCTTCAGTGGTTTGTACACTTTATTATGGGGCCCCTGCACTACCAGTTTGCGGCCCAGCCTCTGTTGCTTCTATTGGCTATTGTTTGCTGTGTTGCACACCCCATGGTTGGTCTGTTTCTGCTTTTAGGACATTCTGAAGGTTAAAGACTTCCTGTGTCCCTCAAGGTCGAGAGAAAATAGTATTGTTTACTAACCATGACATTTCTTTTATATGGAGTCCATTGTGGGACACAGTTTGTGTTTATGATTATGCTCTTGGTACTGATTTGCCACAAAACAGAGGAATGCTGGTAGGGTTGATTATCCTGGGCTAAGCTACAGATTTTCTTGTTGCTGTCCAATCCTCTATTCCTCAGTGGATTCCAAGAAAAGGATTTTAGGGTGAGTACAAAAATCCTATTTTGTAATATCCTCACTTTTTTGTACGATTTTGTTTTTTGTGTAATTTTTTGTTTTTATAAGATCTTCAAACTGGGCACTTTATTTGTGTAGCCTGTGGTGGCTTGTAAATTCCTTTTTTTGTACTTAATTAAGCTTAATTTGTGTTTTTTAGAACTTGTGGAAAATAATGATTTTAACATGGAAAATTACAAGCGGAAAAAATCCTTGGAGAACAAAGAGAACATGGACATGCGCCACAAATTAGAAGAGGTTAGGGTTGAAAAAGAGCAGTACAAAGCTCAAGTACTCCACCTAAATCAGACTATTGTTGAGTTGAAAGAAAGGCTTGCTAGCTGTGAAGAACAGGTTATTGATTTAAAGTCAAAAAATGGAACCATATCTTGTGAGCTGCAGGCAAAGAAAGATCTTGCTTCCACTCTGCAAGGAACTGTTGAAATGTTAATGCAGGAGATAGATCACAACAAACAAAGCACTGCTAGTAAGGTTGCACAAATCAAAACTATTCAGAGTAAGCTGGACAATTTTAATAAAAATGAGTCAAAGGCAGACTCTGAGGCAGAATGTCTTAATTTAAGTGATACAGTTCAGAGCTCATTTCTGATATCTTTAACATCTGGTGGAAGTGACAGTCTAGTGGAAAAAATGGGATCATTAAGAGAGAGTGCATTTTACAATGCCATAGAAGGTTTATGGAGGAAATGTCAAGAAGTTCTAAAGGAATCGTCCAAAAAGAACAAGCAGATCCAAAATCTTGAAAAAGAACTTGTAGGCCTGAAGAACAATATGGCTGAACTACAGAAGGCAAAGGACACCTTACAAGTAAACCTCCAGGAGGCTCATTCTCAAGGCTCCGTTCTAAAAGAAAAAGAACAGCTTATTATTGACCTTCAAAAACAATTGTCGGAAACCTCCAATGATTTGGAGAGACATAAAAAGCAAGAAATGGATTATAAAAATGAGGTATTGTTGAATAGCCAACAGATAAAAGATCTAGGCCTTCTTGTGGATTCTTACAGAGAAAAATGGGAAAAGCTTAGCAGCTTGGAAAACGAGACCAAAGAAAAATCTGTTGCCTTTCTGTCGCTGGAAGAACAGTTGGCAGATCTCCAGGCAGAACATATGAATTGTGGAAAACAACACCAGAAATTAGCTGCTGAAAAGGATGAATTACAAAAGAAGATTAAACAAGGGCTGGAAGAGCTTTCAATTGCTGAGAATGCCAAAAACGAAAGAGAGAAGCAAATCACAGAGACAACGAAGGAAATGGAACTGTAAGTAATGCAGGCTAAACTTATGCTTAAGGGCAGAAATTTCAGTGAGAAAATGTACATTGTTGTAAATTAGTTATTGATATTCTTTAGCCTGATGTACTTCAGTCATTCAAGATTTTCTTTATAGAGGTTTTTATAAGAAAGTTGATAAATGTTTTATATAACAATAGCAATTGTTCTGCTGCTGAGGAGAGGGTTGCCAACTTCTGTATACTTTATGTGAAACGATTTGTTTTTTTCCATTGTGTTATTAAGGGTAAAGAAAGACCTTTCAAAACAAACCAATCAACTACAAGCGGCACAACTGGACCTTCAAAGAAAGGAAGAGGACTATGCAGAGTTGAAAGAGAAACTAGCTGATGCTAAAAAGCAAATGCAGCAGGTTGAAAAAGAGGTTAGTGGATTTTCGTTGTATTGGCACTTTGTTTTGATAATTAAATCATGTTTTACCATTTTCTGATTTGTGTATCGGGGATCTCTTTCTGGTGTTAACCTTTTTTGCCAACCCTGCTTATGTCAGGTTGGCTTGTGATTGTCCAAGTCAGCCCTAATATGACTTCCTCCTCCTGGGAGCATGATGTGGTAAGGCATATAGGACATTGCCTGGATAATATCACCCATACCAATCACCATTCCTAGATAATTTGATACTCGTAACCTTAACTGTAGTCATTGTATAGCCTTGCTGATAGTATGTGAAGGATGGGATCTAATTGTTCTCAGCTGCATCATTGGTTGTCTAT